GGGACCGAGAGGCGCAGCCTTAGTTAGTTACTGCGAGCCAACGGGAGGTGTGGGCTTGGGGGAGGAGGGGGAGGAAAATGGCGCCAAAGGAAACTCCCAGAGAGAGAGAGAAGGTTCCGCCGAGTACTTTGAGTCCCTAATGAGCGCCTGGTTGGGCGCTTTCCGCGGCGTGGACGCCAGACCGCGTTCCGGAAACCTTCAAGCGGGGTAGTGACCAGTTCCCGGGGCCAGAGAGTGTGCCGTGCGTGTGTTTTTCCTTTAACCGTTGGTGCAGAACCTCATCTTCAGATACTTGCAAAATGTACGTAAGTTGTTTGTTCGCCTTGTCTGATCACTGTTCTACAGTTAAAATGATGACGTGCGGGGAGCTGGGGGTGCCCGAGGGGGAGGGGTCCCGGGAAAGCCGAATGTAATAAAATGGTGTGGAGCCATGCTCACTGCGGGCCTGTAAAGAATTGTGTTCATACTTTGCAAGACCAAAAGTCCTGATCTCAACAAGTAACCTATTGGCGGACATGTCAGTGGTGGTGGGTATCGGGACTTGTGTTGGGGGTGATTATGGCCGGAACATTGGCCCGTCCCCCTTGGATGAAACATTGGGAGGAAAATCCAGTTAGCCTTAAACCATGTAATAAAGTAGTGGTTTTAATACCTCGAGGGAAACTCGGGTGTAGAAATGACACTAGGAAAGGAAGAGGGGAGGATAGGGACAAGGACAGCCTGCTTTCCTTTGGGGGAACATTTAGCCGCAGAGCCCGCCTTGGCAATACAGAGTGTGTACATGATCCCTGAAAGAAAACGTAGCTCCGTTTGCTCCGACAGGTTTTAGTGTGTGACAGCGCAGTTGAAAAACAGATGAATTTCAAGCCTTTGGAATTTTTAACCACCAGAATCGAGGGCTTCTCTCCTGGTTATTAGATGCGAGGCCTTGGTCTTCAGGATTTACTGCCTAGGGCTTTACTGACACCAATTTTCACTCTCAGTGTATTGAAACGAGAAGCAGCAAGAAATAGGATTGAGTCCCAACTCACAGGAAGATTGAGGTGTCTGGCTGGGGACTGTCTGGTCCCAGTTTATTACATGAGAATTTATTACAGGAGAATGTTTCTTGTCAAGTAACTAGTCATGGTTACCAATTCTGATAGGAGTCAGATGGTTAAAACTCTTGGTTTTTATTTATTTTATTTTAGGGTTTGTTTTTTTTTTAGGAGGCATATTTCTCTAATGTTTGAGCACAGTGCTTGGATTTTGTGTACTTTTTAACATTTCCATTTTTTTTATTATTTCAGAGATCTCGGATTCAGGTGTGGCTTTATGAGCAAGTGAATATGCGGATAGAAGGCTGTATCATTGTGAGTACCCGGGATATTTGATCTCAGAGCAGTTTGTTATAGAAAAAGATCTCACCAAAAAAGAAAAAGATTTCACATAAAATGGCCAGCCAGAGCAGTGTACAAAAAAGTCAAAGACCCAACCCAAGGAAAGTGTTTTGGGACCCACTGCACTTGCCTCCTTGATTTACTTGTTAGAGATTGGGTAATTCATTAAATAGAAGTTAAATTAATTTTTTAAAATAATCTAATCGTTAATATTTGAAGGCGGGGGATAAATAAAATTAGAGGGGGTTGAGGATCGATGGAGCATAATTCTGGGTTAGGCCACACCTGATGGAGCTGAGTCAGATTAGTTAAATAAGATTCTCAGGATGACCGAATACCTTAAATGATTTTTTGCGTTTTTGTTTTTAATCCTCACCCAAGGATATGTTTTACTGATGAGATTGATGTGAAAGAGAAACATCTATTGGTTGCCTCCTATGTGCACCCCTATCAGGGACTGAACCTATAACCTAGGTTTGTGCCCTGACCAGAATCTAACCCGAAACCTTTTTGGTGTATGGGATGACACCCCAACCAACTGAGCCACACAGCTGTGGCTTAAATAATGTTTTTGAATATATATTTTTATTGATATCAGAGAAGAAAGGAGAGAGAAATAGAAACATCAGTGATGAGAATCATTGATCAGCTGCCTCCTGCACACTCCCTACTGGGGGTTGAGCTTGCAACCCAGACATATGCCCTGCCTGAATCAAACTGTGACTTCCTGACCTGGTTCATAGGTCAACACTCAACCACTGAGCCACACTGGCCAGGGTTAAATGATGTTTTAAAAAAAGATGAAATATGACTGAAAATTTGCCCTTTAGGCATCGTAGATTTCTTCAGTAATCTCACTTTCCCTGTTTATTAGTTGAAAAACAGAGTGGTGGTTAGTGGTGAGTGTTTTATGGGGAACATGGGGGAAGCAGTGGCAGAGGGTAATTCATACATGTACACACATACTGTCTATTGAGTAGGTTATAAAAGATAGGGAGAGTGGCTCTTTGGCATAGCTAATGAATTCTTAAGGCCAAAAGGTTCCAGATCTAATGGAGTGTGTTCTGGCTTTCTTTGTTATTTAAAAAGGTTTAGAGTGGAAGGTGGTTCTTCATCTGAAAGATCAGTGAAGGGATGAATTTCTGAAATTAGTTGGCATTTCTGTGTCTAAGTAGGTATATTTATTTAAAATGGTTTGAATGTGATCTTACTTGAAGATGACAGTTAATGGCTTGTTTTTCTAGGGTTTTGATGAGTATATGAACCTCGTATTAGATGATGCAGAAGAGATTCATTCGAAAACAAAGTCAAGAAAACAACTAGGTAAGAATATAGATGGTCTTACAGAATTTTAGAAATTTTTATTCACTTGCAGAATTGAATGATTTGCAACTTAGTGCATGGTTACATTTAGTGTGCACTAGGAAAGTTATATTTGGTGGGGGGAGACGTTACATTTGAAATCATCCTCTGTCACTTACTCTATTCCACACCATTTCTACTTCTGCCTGTTATAGTATGCTGCATTTTCTAAATTTGACATACAACTCATTTCCCAACTTCTGCAAACTCTGAGCATTGGGAAATGTTAACTTAGTCTGCAGAAACTGTACTTTACATAAAATAACATTTCTCTATCTTCATTAGGTAAAAGTTGAAATGTGCGTATACTCTAATTCAGTGGTTCTCAACCTTCCTAATGCGACCCTTTAATACAGTTCCTCATGTTGTGGTGACCCCCAATTTCATTGTTACAAATTGAACATAATTAAAGCATAGTGATTAATCACAAAAAAACAATATGTAATTATATATGTGTTTTCCTATGGTCTTAGGCGACCCTGTGAAAGGGTAGTTTGACCCCCAAAGGGATCTTGACCCACAGGTTGAGAACCGCTGCTCTAATTTATGCACTTTTAATTTTGTGTTGCAGGCCGGATCATGCTGAAAGGAGATAATATTACCCTGCTCCAAAGTGTCTCTACCTAGAAATGACTTAATGAAGTGAGGAATTACTGAGAAGCAATACAGTTTGTGTTTTTGGGTGTCCTTTGTTGGGAGAATATTTCTTACCCGTTCAGTCATACAGTGCCGTTTAGTCATACAATGCCGTTTTCAGTTACTACAAGATGACAATAAATGATGTTGAATTGTTTTTGTTAAAAAAATTTACATTGTTTCTTTCTAGCTAGTGGTGGAGATTACACAGTGGCACCATTAGCTGTTGGTATGTTAGTTTTCTGAAGAGTGGTTCTTGGCCCTGGCACTTGCTTTTCACAGAGCCAGATCTCTAGATTCTTAAGGCAAAGAGTAGGAATTCTATTTGACAGGTAAGCTTCTGGTATTGGGTGGAAGAGAACAGGAAGGTTCACAAAAATAAAGGCAGGTATACTAATACATGACTTTATCATCAGTTTTAATTGTGGATGCTGGAACTACAGTTTCCAACCACAGTAGGTTGGGGATATAACAGCTACAGTATTTAAAAATAGAGTCATTGGATAGGTCTTTGTTATTTTATCACGAAGATCTGAATGTGAGAAGTATTTGGGTATAGGCAAAGAATGAAATACCGTAAAGGTACATTTAAAATGAACTCTGTTAAGAGTTAACAAGAGGGCTGAAACCGGTTTGGCTCAGTGGATAGAGCGTTGGCCTGCGGACTGAAGGGTCCCAGGTTCGATTCCGGTCAAGGGCATGTACCTGGGTTGCGGGCACATCCCCAGTGGGGGATGTGCAGGAGGCGGCTGATCGATGTTTCTGACTCTCTATCTCTCTCCCTTCCTCTCTGTAAAAAATCAATAAAATATATATTTTTTTAAAAAAGAGTTAACAAGAGGGACACTGGGATTGGTAACCTGAAGAAAGACCATAAGCAGCACTGGTAAGTTAAGTGGAATAATAAATCATGTTAGTTGGGAAAACACCTATCTCTAAGAATTTTGGTTCCTCCCCCAGTAATTGCTTATTTTCTAATTGAATTGTGTGGACAAATCTCTCCTTCCCCAGTATCTCAGGATGGTTCTAGTTAGAATTCTGTTAAATAGCTATGGAGCATCTGCTGTTAGATCGACACAAAGTTGAATAAATACAATGAAACAGACTGGCAAACAAATAGCTTCAATACCAGGCGTTAAGTGCGATTTAAATTGGATCTTGAAAGATGAGATAGGCCTACCTTAAAGTTCTGGTAATGGGCAGTATTAAGTGTAGGTGAGGAAGGACCATTTCCTGCTTTTGCAGAACTTTTCTTTAAACTGAGTAAAAGATTTGTAGGTGAGTGTAGAGACCTAGCTTACAACTTGGCATTTTAGCTGTTCCCCTACTATTTGAACCTGTGCTTTCTTGGTAATATTTTGAAATAAAGGGCTGTTTGAGCTCTTCACGTTTGGGTTTGTAATTCATTGAACTTGCTGCAGCATGCAAAGGAAACAGCGGGCAGCAGAGGGAGCTGCAGCCCTGAGACTGCATCAGCCTTGCCGGTGGAAAACTTTTTAAGAGCATAGAGCAAAGGCTGCAGCTTTCTTGGCACCAAAATAGCTGGGAAGAAGGATAAAAGCTGGAGCAACGTAATCCCTAAGAAAACCATGCCGGCTGCTGCTTCCATTTCCTTGTGCCACCCTTCTGCCCTGGCTGCCCTGTGTAAGCAAAACTGCCTGCTGTGGCTTATTCTGAATGATCAAGATGTGCAAGGTTCTGTTTTTGACAGCAAATGATAGAAATAAGGTGCAGTTAAACTCTTACAGTTGAGTTCTGTATTTAGAGATCTGCTTGCTTTTGTGCTCTACCATAACCTGTGGTGTTTGCTTTTTAAGTTGTACTTTTCTACAGTCTAGGTTTTTTCCAACTAAATTTGTATTATAGGAGGCATTGGGTTCTCCTTCATTAAGGTTGTTAAAGCGTGCTGTGAGAAGCTGCTCTTGTTGGCAGCCCTTGGTAAGTGAGCAATCATTTTTCCGGAATGGCTGTTGGTTTCCAAGGGGGTCTTCTAACCACCCACTAACTCTTTTGTAACATTGTTGAAGAGGGGAGAAGTAGACTGGGCTTGGTGTGCCTTCAGTATAGGCGTGGGGAACCTTTTTTTCTGCCAAGGACCATTATAACATTCAAAGGCCAAATAAAATTATCACCTAAAAATTAGCCTGCTGTATTTGGCCAAACATTTAATTAACTCACCCCTAATGCTTTGCCAGGGCCAGACCAAATGATTTCTCAGGCCTTATATGGCCCATGGGCTGGACGTTCCCCTCCCCTGCTTTAGTAGGTGGAGAGAACGAGGGATAAAAATGGTTTGAATTCCCTAGGATTTTGTGTTTGCAGGCACCAGTACTGTATCACATTTGTCAGTTTCAGGACTAGAGAGTGGGTCTCTAATTTGGATAAGGCATTACTGGCCAGGAAGTGTCATGGGCAGTACCTGGAGTAAGCCTAATAGCAGCATCTCATGCTAACTGACACAGGAGCTTTTTAAAAATTAATTATTCCTTCTAGAACCAACCATAACCACCTACTTATGGTATGCTTTTGGGAGGAGGTGAGATGCTTGGTAAAACTTCTTAAGGTGGCATAAGAACTTAAGTCTGCCAGTACCTAGAGTTTAATTTTTTTGTTATTTGCTCTTGCTCAAGGATATTTTCCCATCTTTCTCATCCCCCAACCTCCCTTTTTTTCTTTTCTTTTCTTTTTTTTTTTTTAGAGAGGGTGGAAGGGAGGGAGGAAAGAGATGTGAGAGGTAATCAATTGGTTGCTCCATTCGGGCCAGGGATCGAGCCTGCAATTGAGGTATGTGCCATTGGACAGAATTGAACCTGAAACCCTTCAGTCGGTGGGCCAATGCTGTAACCACTATGAAACCAGCTAGGGCTGGAGTTTAATTTTAATTTAAAATATATACAATGGAATTTTTTAAAAGTGAATTTAAAAATATTAGCTTAGTACATGTTCATGATAAATATGCAAACAGTACAGAAAGATACAAAGTAGAAAACAAACCCTCCTTTCCCCATGAGTATTTTCCATTGATAGCCACCCAAGAAATAGCGGTTATTTCTTTAAAAATTTTTTAAGTTTGGTAAAATGCACATGCTATTTACTATCCTACCATATTTAAATGTACAGTTCAGTAGTGTTAAGTTTACTCATTATTGTACAGCCAGTCTAGAACTTTTTCATTTTACAAAACTGAAACTGTACCAATTAACTCACCATTTCTCCCTCCTCCAACCCGTGGCAACTACCATCCCACTTTCTGTTTCTGAGTTTGACTACTTTAGATACTCGTATACTTGCCACAGTTTGTTTATACATTCAGTTGTCAGTAGATACTTGGGTGGCTTCCGCCTTTTGATTATTGTGAAGAATACTGCTATGAGCCTGGGTGTACAGATATCTCTGGGAGACCCTGCTTTCAGTTCTTTTGAGGACATCCCCAGAAGTGTTTTTGAGGAACAGCTGCTGCAACATCTTACATTCTTACCAGCAATGCTCAAGGGTTCCAGTTTCTCCACATCCTTGGCAAAACTTTTGTCTGTTTTGATAGCCACCATCCTAATGGTTGTGAGGTGGTAATCATTGTGTTTTGATTTTGCTTTCCCATAACAGTGATGTTGACTATCTTTTCATATGTTTGTTGGTTATTTGTATATCCTCTTTGGAGAAATGTCTTAAAGTTCGCTGCCCATTTTTAAACATTATTTTGTTGAGTTAAAAGTTTTTTTACATATTTTCTCCCAGTTTGTAGGTTGCATTTTCACTGTCTTTCGATGCACAGTCTTTTAATTTTAATGTGATTTAGTTAATCCGTTTTTACTTTTGTTGCAAATGCTTTTGGTGTCATAGGTATTTTTGTTTGTTTATGAAGTGTGAAAGCCACAACCTGCATGGCTAGGGTTCAGGATCTGGAGAAGGGCCGCACACAAATGAATACACTAGACAAGAAATATGAATTTGGAAATTACAGGGGGCCAGGCGGAACGCCTTTCTCTAGTGGAAAGGCTTCACTGGGGCCCAGGCCCTCTTAGCTTTTATTCAATTTTAGATACACATCTTGCCCTTCAGCAGGCAATCCAGTAGTAGACAATCTTAAAGGTCAGTAAATATTAGTAAAGATTTACTTTGAGATTATTAGGTCAGGAAATTGCTTGAGCCACCATTGTCTCAACAAATAGTCGGTGCATAGCTTTAGCCCTGGCCAAAGCCCAGGGTCCATCAGCCTTCTGGGTTCCCTGTTTGCACTTTCATGATAGTGTAGACAACGGATAGCTTCCAGCAGTGAAGATATACTTCTGCAGTTTGATTCTTATCAACAAAACTCAGACGTATTTCCCTGTTAAACAGCTGAGATGTATTCCGTTGTATGAGTCTCTTAATATAAGAAGCCACCCACTCCCTATTGATGGATATTTTAGGCTGTTTCCAATTTTTTGCTGTTAAAAGTTTTGTACTAACATCTCTATACCTGTTTTTCTCTCACTTAAATTTTCTGTGAGATGAATTTTTAGAAGTGGAATTGCTAGATCAAAGGATATACATATGTAAAAATTCTATTGATATTCTAAATTGCCTTTGAGAGTACAAAATGGAAAATTATTTTCCTCATACAAGCCGACCATTAGGCAGCAGGTTTTTTTTTGGTTTTCGTTCTGTTTTGTTTTTGTTAATACTCACCCAAGGATATTTTTCCATTGATTTTTGAGAGAGTGGAAGAGATAGGGAGAGAGAGAGAGAAACATTGATGTGAGAAAGACATGGATTGGTTGCCTCCTGCACACCAGGGATTGACCCTGCAGCCGAGGTAGGCGCCCTTGACTGGAATAGGAACAGTGGCCTTTCAGTCCACAGACTGACCCTCTATCCACTGAGCCAAACAGGGTAAGGTTAGGCAGCAGTTTTAATGAAATGCACAGGCTTACTGTGAGGCAACTATGAAATAATAACTGCCCGTATCATAAGGACTCCAGAGTTTTAAAATGGGAAGAAACTTGGTTTTTGATTCCTTGAACCGCTGAATTAGTCAACTCTGGAACTTCCTACCACCGAACTTATTATGTGAGAAAAATTTCCTGGTTGGATTTTTTTTGTTAAAACTAAAGCATTGTAACAGAAAACAATATCAGAACAAGGGTGTCTGTCTTTAGTACCTCTTACGCCTGGAAGGGGATTAGATTAG